ACGAAGAAAATCAAACTAGTCACCGATATTCGGTGCAGCATCTGTCGATCTTGCTAAAGCTTTTGACACCGTTAATGACACATTCTTTTTTCATATGTTACGGTATTTCAGGTCCCACCTTGAGTCTAATAAAGGGTAGCTTAAAAAACAGTTTGCAGGTTGTCCAAGTCCCGGTATCACTAACCAAGAAGTGCCTCAAGAAAATATTCTGGACCCTCTGCTTTTTCCACTGTTTATTTACAATTTCTCCCCACACTTCGCCATGGTGACTGTTTGTTATATGGGGATGATAAATCCATATGGTCATCTCACAAAAGCATCCCCGTACAGCTAGAAAAGCTGAACGTAGATTTTAATAATGGTAGTGACTGAAGTACACACATTGCACATTGACCTGCACATTGACCCGGCCGACCTGAACATTTCTAGGTTCACCATGACACTTACATGTAACACTGAGTTATGTAAAGATCTTGTTCTCTGTTTTTTTTTTTAACTCTGATCAATGTATAAGACTTTGTTGCACAACACTGGGATGAAATGTGATAACTGCGTTTCTCTTACGCTGTTGCGAAATTCACCTATGTATCCATTGTTCACACCTGTATGGGCCTGTCTAGGCTCGCAGTATCCTATAAATAAATTCAAATAAATAAAAACTACATTAGTGATATTTCATTCTTCATTACTAAAAAAAGGCAGGAGAAGGGTCTAGCCTTGAAGAAGACAAGTCCGCTAGTTGAAACGTCGGCTCGACACAACTCATCTTTATGAATTTTTCATCTATTGTTAAAGGTGGCATTTGCAGTGTTCACAAACGGGGATATGGAAGTACCAGTTACTAACAGTGCCAGGTTTTTAAGTGTGACATTAGATGAGCACCTCAAATGTAACCATCACATTCATTCACTAATACAGATAGTTTCTCTATGTAACCATAAAATTATGAAATTATTTCAAGAGATAATAAGAAATTCTAAACAGCTATACCCATATCCTTGCACTAAGAGAGCTACTGCTAAAACAAAACCTATCTCCTTTTATTTTTGAAGGAGCACTCATATGAAAATTCTGCACGTTGTTTTTTCTGCTTGCATAGGCAGCCAAAAACCCACTTATCCCGGCTGGAAAGCTTATTTGCTAAGGAGTGCAATGGTTAATTATTTGGAAATGTTTTTATGCCCCCCAGTTGCAGTGTGATAGCGCCAAGTGAGACAGGACCCACAGCAGTTCACATAGCTGGCTATGTGAGAACGAAAGAATGGCCAGCACGTGAGCACCGTGTAGACAACTCTATTCAATAAAGGCTCCATCGGAGACATAAATATGTGTGACCCCCTCCAAACAGGCACTGCCAAAGCAAGGACATCAGCCTCTGTGCACCCATCACCCATGCAAGCTTGCCCCACCTGCCTCTCTCCGTTGAAAAGGTCCGCTATTAGAGAGCACTTGCAAGGATCGCGAACTCATAGGGCAGAGGGTGGTTGACTGTTAACAAGAAAACCAAAAGGTGCACTACATGGTGGTGGCACACACTTCAAAATTGATGTTAATAATGATAACTGTTGGGAGTTAACATCCCAAAACCACCATACGATTACGAGATGCCGTAGTGGAGGGCTCCGGAAATTTCGACCACCCGGTGTTCTTTAAATGCCAACTCTGGCAATTTTCAGACCATGTCAGGATAATGGTGCTTTTATGTTGCTGAGACACTCTTGTCACACCCCCGATAGCTGAAATGCTCATCGAATTCGAAAATAATTTTTAATTACCGAAAAACCCCAATATCAAACCGAAACCCAACCAAGTGCGCTTCTACGTGTGACATAATCATTTGCCCAAACCTGCCTGATTGTGCATAATTCGTGCCAGATGGCATAACCTATCTACCCCATCGGCCACGCTCGGCTAGTGAGTGAGCCACAGAATTGACATTTATTTGGCCCAGCAAAATGCGAAAAAAACTCGTGATAGGACTGACAGGTCTAGCCTGCCGGCTCGATCCCGGGCACCCTGGATGGCTAGGATTTGCTCTTCGAAGACAAGACTTCGCAGAAGCGTGTCTCTTTGCTGAACGTCGTGGCCAGAGGCCTGCACTCCCAGAACACGTGAGGCAAAGTAACAACCTAGCCACAAGCTATGCAAGAACTATTCGTGTAAACTTCCGGATAGGTGCTATTAAGGAATGCAGGATTAGGGTGAGAGTTGGTTTGCAGGAGTCTGAGCGTGACCACCTGCAGTCTACCTAGCTTGGAATGAGGTGGCGGGAAGAGCCCTCTCTCTAAATAAAAGAATTTCGTTATCTCATTATGCGTGCTAGGAGCATCCCTTTGTCCAGGACGAAAGTTCCCCAATACGCAGGTAGCACGGTCAATAAAGCCATGTGCAGCCTCATGAGCAGACTCGTTAAGGTTCAGAGGAACCCCCTCAATTGCTTCGATCGGCTAAAACGCTCACATTGTTATAGTCAATATATGGCGCATCGTGTGTGGCTCACAATGCAACACCACTTGCCACCTACCGCACGCTAACCAACGTAATTAAGGAAGCCGCACGCTCAACCAAGGAAGCACCGGCCAAACCTACACAATCCATAGCAGACAAGTAGATGCTGCAGTGGCACATCAGTTCCCTCCCTTCCACCAAGGAAAAAGCAACGTCACACGCACAATGTTGCCATTAATTCTGGCAAGCGAGGTAAGCATTTCGAGGCAAGCTACAAAATTCTTGTGAGAAGAGTCTGCGAAACTCTCAAGCTTGCAATTCGGCATGAATGGTGCTTACGTGCAAATGAACGTACCCAGTGAATTTCACTGAGATCCATTGACCTCAAAAAATCGCCAGAGTTGGCCTTTACCGTGCACCTAAATCTACGCACACAGGCTTCAAGCACTTTCGCCTCCATCAAAAACACGGCCGCCACGGCAGGGATACGATCCTGCAGGTCTGTAGCAGAGTGCCTTAGTCTTTAGACCACCGGGATGGGTGTTTAAGATTGATTTTAAATATCCCCTAAGCTATATTATCCATTGACAGTTCGTAGACGATGTGCACTTGTACAAACAAACCTATTGCACAAGAAATCTCGCATTCAAAATTTTGTGTCAGTGCTCTTTCAAGCTTAGACAGTGTGGCACCTTAATTGTGGCTTTCTCAAATTGACTTCTCATAAATGGGTCATTCTATGTCAACTCTACTGGTCTTGGCGCTCAACCATCTGGGCTTTGCTTGAAAAAAAATTCAGGTCTATCTACCTCAAGCAAGAAGTTCTCTTTCAAAATATTTTTTGCAAAGGGAACTTTTCGAAACCGCAAGCCCCTGGCGAATTTTTACAGAAAGCTCAAAGCCACGGCTTGTAAAAAAAAAAATCTATTCGTCCCGACGTAGATTAAGATGAATTTTCACCTTTAGAACAACGGTAGGCTTTTTACTTCAAATAAGTTTTATAAACTTTTACGCTTTCATGGATTTTTTATTCAGCCTCAAGTGCGGAGATGCTGGTCCATATTGGTGATGTTTTATAGAGAGACAACATTCAGCGAAATGTGATAGTTGGTATTAGTATACTGCGAAAATGTTTTACAGTAGACTGAACATAACTTTAGGCCTGCATAGTGTTGAAATGAAGTGTACAGGTGGCAACAATATTGTAAAATTTGGTCGTCAATTCAACATGAGGCAGTCCTAGTATAGATATGCTCCAATAGCAGATTTACTAGCAACTCTCATCGCCTAACCACTCGGAAAGTTTTATCAAATTACTCTTCGATTTAAGCAAGAAAAATAATATTGAATTTGTGTGTTACCACTATGTGTTTGCACATGTTTATACGTTGCAGTCCTAGCGGTAAGTGCAAGCTGCACGAATGTGGGGATCATTTCGACAACATAATCTACTTGTCCGGGCTTATTTAAATTATTGCCCTAAGTCAACACTGAATGCAGGACCTACTAGATAACTACATGCAGCTGTTCAGTGGTGGCCTGCACAGCATGCTTACGCAGCACTGGGAAACGATACCAATTTGTGCGACACATTATTGTCTTTTCGGTTAATCTAGAAGAGGTAGGTGTTCTTTGTATATACCCTTATATCTTATGAAGTTCACAGATGAATGACCACCTTCGTAGCACAGTGGTAGAGCATGGGATGCTTTATTTGAAGGTGGCAGGTTCGGTCCCTGCCGGCAGCAAGTTGTCTTTTCATTCACTTTTCCTTCCCCACATAATGTTTTCAATACTTTCTTTGGCATGTTTGTCTCATTAACATCTTGCCCACCTTGCAACAGTTCATTCTACAGATATCACTGAAGAGCACAGTACTGTCCAACGACTGTGCAATATAAAAATTGGCACCTTATTCGGCGTCAATTTAACCACATCTACCTAGATCTGCATAAAAATCTCAGTGGCTTACAGTATTCAAAAAACAAAAAATGTAGGTCATGCTTAGTGCTTGCTTTTAGCAGCAGCGATTTTTTTCCCTCAATTCAACTAATTTACATTTTAAAGCATTGCATGAAGAATGGTGTGAAACCAGCAATTAAACGAACTTACTATTTCGCACTAGTTTCACCTAAATTTATCGACTTTTCCTTTTCTTTCGGAAATGAAAACAATGGATTCAAAGTCGCGTCTTGCAGGCTCGGTCGTTTCGTTGGGCGCGATCGTAATGAAGCCAGGCGAACAACAAAATCCCTATTGCACGCTTCGCGAACACATGGATTGTCGTCCAGTTACGAAGTACGCTTGGCATTGCATAACAATCAACATCACGAGCGATGTTATCGTAAATCATAAGGTAGGCGCGCTTTTCGAGAACTTAATTTGGGATAAAAGGGGCCGATGGGTCTCATGTCGAAACGCAGCGAGGTGTAAACGTTGGTTTGGGTTCCTCACTTCCCACTTTGCATTTCTTCCGACACGTAAAAAAAAAAAACACTTTTGAGAACATAACCCAAAATTTCGGAGCAGTCGAATGCAGGGAAGGGGCGTACAGCCGACCGTGGCAGCGGCAGGCTCACCAGATGCGCCGCAGTCTCCACACACGTCGGCAACCATTCGCAGCTTTCCTCGTGACATAGAACTCTCATGCGACACCACGGCAGGCGCCAAACCCACGAGGGTCACCGCGGAAAACACAACAACGTTGATTAAGCGCCCGCCTTTTTCAATGCAGGTAGAGAGCACGGCAAGGTTCTGTCAGAGACTGTGTTAGAGGGTGAAGTGTTGAGTGCCGTGACCGCGCGAGGCCGCCTGATGCCTTCTGCGTTGCCCATAACGGCGGCGCTGCAGTCGAATAGTAAAACGTTCGGTTCAGTGAATTCAAAGTCGTGCTAAGTTGTGCAAGGTTGGTTGGTGCAAGTAGGATACATAAAACTTGCTGGAGTGGAAGCCACTCATGCGCCGCTACGGGAGAGAGTGAAGCCGCGCCGAGCGTGCGGCGGCCATGTTGCTAGTGGCAGAAAAGAGCCGAGCGCTGCAAATTTATGCCTCATCGCGCTGCGGGTGAAGTGGCTCGTGTGTTTATATAAACCAACGAAAACAAGTAACTCTGGTTGTAAATGTTTATTGCGACTTGTACGCAGCCAAGTGGCATGCAGAGAACTCAATTAAATTGTATATGCATCAAATAGCGATGCCTAAAGCAAACACATCATCGAAAACATAGGTGCCCTACTGGTGGTTGAAAATTATTGCCCTTGCCAAAAGTGATCCCACCTTACTTTTGACCGATTCTCGGTTTTTTTTTTTTTTTTCCTTCGTCGTGGGTTGTATCCTCACTTTTACGTATTGTTCGGCGATTTGCCTGCACAAACTGTAAACCTTATTATCAAGCGTATCAAAGTCTAGGACGTGCTGCTCTAGTTTATGGAACCAGTTTTTCTCGGAGGAAGCTCATAGAACTTTCAGGATGAGGTGTTTTGCTCTTGACTTCACCGTTGTGATGGAATCACATTCAGCCTTTAGCCGCCTCATTCCTCGACTTCTTTACAGAGGCTAATGACATCTCGCGATGGTGAAACAAGACCACCTCGCCTCTTACATTTAATTAAAGGTGTCAGCTCATCTGAGTGCATGGCTGCTATACACTCTTCACAGGTAGTTGCAGTTCGACCTTTCGAACAATGAACCCTGCTATGTATGGCGCCACAGAACCGACAAAAACAGAAAAGCTTTCGGGCTAGTCAATGCGATGCGCATTGTCGTGGTCATCGGGCTGCAGGACTGGGGCCTTGCGCATGTCAGTGAGATTGCTTCTTGGATCTACCATGGCTGCAGGAGTCATTGCATTTAATACGGAGAGAACATCTTGGGAGCAGTGTCCAGAACTTGAAGACGTGACTTCTGTCTGAACCAATAGACGCTTGTATGCAGCCATAAACTGCGAAGCTGTTGGGTTGTGGTTATGGCCGCCTCATCCACGTATTGATTCAAAGAAGTTTTCGGCATAATCTTGACTGAGTTTGTGTGTCAGTAAGTATTTCAGCTGACCCTGGCTGACAAGTCTGTCAAACATTCTTTCCATGCTTGCCATGCGTATCCAAAAACCAATGAATCCGTTTTTTTTTTTTTTTCAGTCCTTCTGTCACTGCCGGATCTCTCAGCCCGTTTATGTACGCTTGAGTCTCCGCAAAAAACGACTTCTTGAATGCTTCGTTCCCCTGCCGAAGGGGCGCTTTGTACAACCTTGCCAGCGGGTTCCTGAAGTTTTAAGATGTTAAACAAGCGATCAAAAGTTCTAATAAACGTAGATCTTGTGCTGGCACCCTTGAATTGCGGCAGCTTTAGCTTTTGTTCGCAGAAGTCCAAAGCATCGGCAACTGAGGCACTCGATCAGTTGTACAGCATATCATGCCTTCATTTTTTGCTTTTCCTATTGAACGTGGACTTTCGTAAGTTTATTTCCGAGCCACAACCCTTCGTCACGTTGAAGTGCCTTCAATGCCACTTCATAACCCCATGTCACATGATTCCCTTCAATGTCAAGGAGGTGGTCAAAGCACTCTGGCGCGATGTGACCTCAGTCTTTCGCATTCGACTCCTCACAGCGAAGGGCCCACTCCCAGAGGCTCCGCGTTACAAGATCTTTAAGAAACCTGTAAAACAAATCCGGACTGTTATGTTTTGCACGCTTAGATCGCGTCAGCTATAGCTCCCTTTAGTAACGAGCGCGGAATGGCTACGTCGAAGACGTTTTCGTGTACGTACAAGTGGAATGTGAGGCCACAATCTTTTTTCAACCTGTTGGCACATCCGTGAACGACGCAAGAGGCAACCGATGTAAACCATTTGTCTTTACATGCCGACAAGGTGAAAAGAAAACGGACGAAATCAGCAGCTCGCGATGGCACTGAGCACGCTTTTTGCCACTGGCAAGATGGCGGCGGCTGGCTTCACTCGCACAGCGTCCCTTCCACTCCAGCAAGTTTTATGTATCCTCCTTGGGTTGGTGCAGAAGCAGCGCGCAACGACAGATAAGTTTCTCTTCATTTCTTTGGGTTTGTGAACATTATTATTATTTTTTCCCCTAATCAATAATTAGCGTTGCGAGTCCTGTAGGTGTGGGACACGGGCGACGTTGTAGTGACGTTGACCACGTGAATGAGGTAGGCGGCTGTTTTAAAGAAGTTTGGCGCGACCGGTTAGTTGTTAAACCGCTAGAACCGAACACGAAGTGGACCTAGTGAGAGGCTACAAGTGAAATTGAACACGTGTGTGTGCGGTGTAGGTGGCAGCTTCAAACAGTTGTTGAGGCAGGAGAGTTAGCGGAGGCGGCTTGATAGAGGGATTAGGGTTGAACGTAGGCCTGTTGGGCACTCGGTCCGATGGTCGGGCGGGCGATGGCTAAGGAGGCTAGGAAAACCACGAGCGAGAGTGAGCTGATACAGTGCGAAGAATGCAAGCGCTGGTGCTACTTAGATGAGACAGCATTCACGAGTTTGGCTGACGCGCAGAAGGCGAGTTTCGTGTGCAGGCTGTGCGAGGCACTGAAGGTGGCCGTGCAGCGCATGGAGGTTAGCATCAATTGGGGCTTCAGGGGGGAACTCAGGGTGGAACGGGAGCAGAGGATAGAAGTCCAAAAAGAGCTCGGAGCGTCGCGTGAGCGGGAGGAGGCTACCACCAGCCTATTAGAGCAAATGAAGGGCGATCTTCGAAAAGAACGGGAAGGGCGGACCGAGCTAAAGCAGCGGGTAAAGGAGCTAATGGCGCTTTGCCCCGGCCCCGAGCGGTGTGAGACGGAAGGCGTGGGTAGCGGAGAAGGCGACAGGCGGGAAGGAACAGGCGAGAAGGGAGGTCAGGGGGCCGCAGTGTCTGGCCACAGCACGCAGGCTCCGAGAACATACAGCTCGGTGGCGCACCAGTCTTCAAGCAGGGCAGAAACACAGGACAGACGGCAGAGAGAGAACCAGGTGAAGCAAACAGGGGCGCCATCACAAACAGGAAGCCAGCGATTGGAGCGTAGAAGGGTCCTAATGGCGGGGGACTCTATAGTGGCCAGGGTTAGGGATGGAGTCTTTAAGACAGTGAAGGAAGATGGGAGAGTCAGGGTGGAGGCACAGTCAGGGAAGAGCATGCTGGATGCACTGGCCAAAGCTAAGGAGGTTGTAGAAAACAGCATCGAAGGCGAAAATCTAGTCATTATTCATGCTGGGCTGAATGATGTGTCCAAGGACAAGTATCAGAACCTTCAGAGAAAGTTAGAGGATGGGATGCATAAGCTCCGAGAAGCCTCTGGGAGTGTGCATGTGACCATATGCACAGTCCCACAAGTCTGGGGGCAGCCTCGTGGGATTAAAAGGAGGGTATTGGAGGCCAATATTGTGATCAAAGGTTTGAGCCGGCAACTCGGATACAGCGTAATTGAAGTTAACCAAAACGTGTACGAGGCCGGTGCTCGGCCCTTTGCACAGGATGATATTCACTACAGTGGTGCGACGGGCAGGAGGGTCGGTAACAGAATGGGTCGCCAAGTCATAGCTTTTTGGGGGGACCCAGAGCCCTGAGGCCAAAAGTGTGGCCAAAGACGGACCTAAAGGGGCACAACTATTCAAGCCACACGAAGTCCGTGGGAGAAGAAATCGACGTAAGCACATGGGCCGAGCTAAGTCAGACGTAGGCTATATTAACATGCAGGGTGGCAGGAATAGGTTAAAGTGGGAAGAGATAGAAGAGCAGTTGATGCAGGAGGAGCTGATGGTATATGAGGTTGTGGAGACACATCTTCGGGACATGGAGCAACCACCCTGCAATCCGGACTAGGTATGGGAATATTGCAATAGAACAAAAGGCAGCAAAAGGGGGAGGGGCGGAATTGGTGCATTTTTACATAAGAGCATGGGTTGGCAAAGAGTCAAGCAGGGATGTATGGAACATGTATGGTTAAGAGGAAAAGTAGGTGGGCAGATGACAATCCTTGGTTTGCGGACGGGAGCAAAGGCAGGAGAGGAAAACCAGGCTATGGTGGAGTTTATATCAAAGGACATTGAGGAATTAGGAGGAGAGGGCGAGATAATTATACTAGGAGATATGGATGCGCACATAGAAGATATAGATGGGTATACTGACTCAACAGGCAAAATGGTCATGGATATGTGTGAAAGGCATGATTTGATCATTTGCAACAGTACCGAGAAGTGTGAAGGGCAAATAACATGGGAGATAGGAAGGCTGCAGTCAACGACAGATTACGCACTGATGCCACAAAGAATGTATGATAAGCTCAGGGAAATGCACATAGATGAAGGTGGCTCCAGAAGTCTGGGTAGTGATCACAAACGTATCAAGCTAAGTTTCGGAAGAGCAGCGAAAGTGGGAAGGAGACAAGATGAGCAACTACAGGAAAATTTTCATTCAGAAAGGCAAATAGAAATTGCTTCTAAAAAATTGAGAAAGTAATCACTGAGGATAATAAAACTGTGTGGACATACGCAAATATAATGAGACTGTCTGGGCTAGAGTTTTCTAAGGCACGTGACAAGTCACCCCGGAAAAGAAGACACAAGCCCAAGAGTTGGTGGGATGAAGAAGTTAAGAGAACCATAGCAAAACGTCAGGAAGCATCTGAGAACACAGACATGCTAAGCAACAGGGTGAACCGACAGATGACGTTGAAAGAAAATAGGAAATCTTTCTAAGCTCCAGAAGGAAAGCATCCCTCCTGATCAATGAAAAGATTAGAAGAAAGGGTGCTCAGTGGCTGGCAGAAGTACATAAAAAGGACAGAAAGGCAGCTGCGAAATTTTGGAACCATCTAAACTCCC